AGCGCGCGCGCGCGGGAGGGGACGGCGGGCGGGCGGGGGTGACGCACACGCAGCACGTACGGGGGCACGGCGCGGCCGCCAGGGAGCGCGCTGCCCGCCCCGCAGCCCTCACGGGGAAGGGCGGGGCTTGGCTGTGAGTGACGGGGGCGGCAGCCAATGGGGTCTTGTGGTGAGGGGNCGCCGACGGCAGCGCGCGCGCGCGGGAGGGGACGGCGGGCGGGCGGGGGTGACGCACACGCAGCACGTACGGGGGCACGGCGCGGCCGCCAGGGAGCGCGCTGCCCGCCCCGCAGCCCTCACGGGGAAGGGCGGGGCTTGGCTGTGAGTGACGGGTGCGGCAGCCAATGGGTTCTTGAGGTGAGGGGGAGGGAGGGGGGAGTGGGCGCCCCGCCCGCCCGGGGCGCGCGGAGGGAAAGGGCGGGATTTGGCGCTGAGTGATGGGTGTGGCGGCCAATGGGCCATCGAGATAAGGGTGAAGAGGGGGCTGGGGGTGTCCAGAGTCTCCTGGCGGGGGGGTGCGGTCTAATTCTGAGTGACAGGCGTAGCAGCCAATGAGGGCGAGAGTGCGCCCTCCACCCACCATCGCGCACGGCGATGGGTGGGGCTTAACTCTGAGTGACGGCCTTGGTAGCCAATGGGTTCTTGAGATTACGTGCGGGCGGTGCCTGGCTCTGAGTGACGGCTGTGGCAGCCAATGGGAGATCGAGATGAGGGGCGGGGGCTGGGGGGGGTTGAGGTGGTGGAGAGGTCACTGAGATGGATGTGGTGGCACTGGGCTCTTTTGGGGGGCTGAGGTGTGGGGAGGTCACTCTGAGGGAGATGTGGTGGCAGTGGGCACTTGTGAGGGGCTGAGGGGTAGAGAAGTCACTCTGAAGTGGCACTGGACCTTCGTGAGGGGCTGAGAGGTCACTCTGAGGGGATGTGGCGGCGCTGGACACTTGTGAGGGGATGGAAGGGCTGAAGTCCTGGACAGGTCACTCTGAGGTGGCACTGACACTTGTGAGGGGCTGGAAGGGCTGAAGTCCGGGACAGGTCACTCTGAGGGGATGTGGTGGCACTGGGCACTTGTGAGGGGATAGAAGGGCTGAAGTCCTGGACAGATCACTCTGAGGTGGCACTGGACCCTCATGAGGGGCTGAGGTGGTGGACAGGTCACTCTGAGGGGATGTGGTGGCACTGGACCCTCGTGGGCACTCAGTCCCCTGTGGGCACCGTGAGCTGCCAGCTCTGCCTGTTCCTGTTGGACCTGAACCCCTGTTGGGGCTCAAGTGGGAATTAAGGATGGGCAATTCCAGGAATTCCTGCTCCAGCTGTAATTCCTGTCACACCTGCAATACCCCCAGCCCCGAGTGAAAGCTGAGCTGCTCTGGGCTGGATTTCTGGGGGATTCTCTGAGGTCAGAGAAGGAAGCACCTCATTTTTACCTTTAAATACAAAAAACTTCAGATTTACCCTCATTCCATTCGATCAGCACACAATAAATCCCTTTTAAGAGAAAACTTCTGTGTGTTGGGAAAGGCTGGATATTCAGTCCCTCTTCCTTTCCACGTTAAGATGCAAATATATGTCTTCTCTAATAAATAACTTGGATTTTATTATTCTTTATTATTCTTGCTTTTGGTGTAGGATAAAGCCTGACCTGAATCAACACGTTCCAGACCTGCAGCTGCTGGGCTGACTTCCGCATTAAGATGCAAATATGTGTCTTCTCTTATAAATAACTTGGATTTTATATTCTTGCTTTTGGTGTAGGATAAAGCCTGGCCTGAATCAACATGTTCCAGACCTGCAGCTGCTGGGCTGAAAAGATGGAGACTGGAAAACATCCTTATCCTGGGAATATTGTGCAGCAAAAGGAGGGGAAAAAACAAATCCAGAGAACACAGGACTCACCACTTCTGCAGAGAGACTGAATTCATCTCGTTTTTAAGTAGAATCAACCGTTCAGAGCAAAGAGCAACGGGGAGAAAGCTTGAAATAACATTTGAGGATGAAAGTAGAACCAGAGGGGAGGGGAAAAAAAAAATAAATACTACAAAGCCAGGTGGCAGCTTGCTGCAAACACTTTTTATTTATTAATAAACACAACACACTCCAAACCTTTGGCTGCTTGGCAGAATCCTCAAAAGTCTTGGAAAGGGATCAAAGTTCTGCTGCTCCGCCGGCTTCCTCTCGCTGTCCCTGCCGCAGCTCGGGGGATAAGGGTGTGGAAAAGCCCCTCGCGTGCCAGCAGCGGTGGCTCTGTCCCCTCAGGGTGGCCTTGGGGACGCTTTGGTGCTGCTGTCTGAGGTGCTGAAGCCGCAGGAGCGGCTGGGAAAGCAAACTCGGGATTCTCTTTGCACACGTGGATTTCGGGATCGTTCTGCTCCAGCGCTTGGAAGCCACTTGGAAGCTTTTTAAGGGTGAAATGGATGCAGAGGCAGGCTGCAGAGCTCCCAGGCTGTGTGGGTTTTGGGTTTTTTTTGGTGTTTTGTGTGAGTTTTCTCCCTCAAAGCCGGGCTGCTGCAGAGGAGAGGCTGTGACTCACTGGGCTTTGCCTGCTGTGCAGCCGGTGTGGAATTTAAACCAGGCAAAAAACTGGCACGGCTCCCTGCCAACGGCGCCGAGCTCCCCTGCAGATCACAAGCTGGAATTGAGGAGAGAAGAAAACGTGAGTGAATTAATATTTTCAAAGGTGTTTTCTGCTGCAAACGTGCGGGTGATAAACCCCAGGTGCCGCTGAGGAGCGCCAGAGCCGAGCAGCTGGAGGGAGAAATGCCAGCCCTGGCAAGGAGGAGAGGCCTTTCCTCGAACCCGACTGGAATTCCAAAGCAGCCCCCAGCAGCTCTGGGATTTGCTGGCATCCTCCTCCACTCGGGCCCGCCCTGGGATTGGTCTCCAGGAATTCCCAGCCATGGAGATAAGGCTGGGATGGCTCCGTGACGTGAGGGGGGCACAGCCAATGGAGCCCAGGCTGGCCAAAACGGGGGAAAAATGGGATATTTTTATCTTGGCACGGGTAAAAATCGGCTCGGGGGGAGGTGAGGGTGGAGCAGGGATCAGGTGGGGAGGGAGGAGCTCCCACCCAGAGCAATAAATGCACCCAGGGTGTTCGTTAAGGACAATAAATGAAGCAAATTAATCACTTTATTCCCTCCCTGCTCTGGTCATATCTTTTTATTTAATGCTCAGGGGGTTTAAAAATCACAGAATTCCAGGGTGGTTTGGGGTGGAAGGACCTTAAATCCCATCCATCCCACTATCCCAGCTTGTTCCAAGCTGTCCTCAGGGGGGAAAAAATGGGATATTTTTATCCTGGCATGGGTAAAAATCGGCTCAGGGGGAGTGAGGGTGGAGCAGGGATCAGGTGGGGAGGGAGGAGCTCCCACCCAGAGCAATAAATGCACCCAGGGTGTTCGTTAAGGACAATAAATGAAGCAAATTAATCACTTTATTCCCTCCCTGCTCTGGTCATATCTTTTTATTTAATGCTCAGGGGGTTTAAAAATCACAGAATTCCAGGGTGGTTTGGGGTGGAAGGACCTTAAATCCCATCCATCCCACTATCCCAGCTTGTTCCAAGCTGTCCTCAGGCACTTCCAGGGATGGGAAATCCACACCAATTTCTTCCAGTGCCTTTCATAATAAAGAATTTCATCCAAATTCCTCATTTTTCTTCGTTTTCTCTCTCTGTTTATTGCCTTTTTCTTTCCTTTTTCCTTAAAACTCATCCTAAATAAAAATGCCTTAAAATTTTACTTATTTCACCACACCTGAATACCAATAATTGAAAGAACAACAACAACAAAAAATCTGTTTTTTTTTTTTTTAAATAGAAATATTTTCTACACTGACAAAATTCCTTTTTTCTCAGGGTTAAATCCATAGGGGAAAAAAAAAAAAATTAGGAATTAATTTTTCCAGTGCAGCTGTGCCATTTCTCCTGAGTTACCACGAGAGGGACACAGATGAAAGAACAACAACAAAAAAAATCTGGTTTTTTTTTAAATAGAAATATTTTCTACACTGACAAAATTCCTTTTTTTTTAGGGTTAAATCCATAGGGAAAAAAAAAAAAAAATCAGGCACTTCCAGGGATGGGAAATCCACACCAATTTCTTCCAGTGCCTTTCATAATAAAGAATTTCATCCAAATTCCTCATTTTTCTTCGTTTTCTCTCTCTGTTTATTGCCTTTTTCTTTCCTTTTTCCTTAAAACTCATCCTAAATAAAAATGCCTTAAAATTTTACTTATTTCACCACACCTGAATACCAATAATTGAAAGAACAACAACAACAAAAAATCTGTTTTTTTTTTTTTTAAATAGAAATATTTTCTACACTGACAAAATTCCTTTTTTCTCAGGGTTAAATCCATAGGGGAAAAAAAAAAAAATTAGGAATTAATTTTTCCAGTGCAGCTGTGCCATTTCTCCTGAGTTACCACGAGAGGGACACAGAAGGAAAGCAAAAGGAGCTGGGAAAGGAAAAACCCAAGGAACAGCTCGAGCTGGGATCACAGCAACACGTTTCCCTTTTGGCTGGGAATTTCTGGGATCACAGCATTCCTACAGCTCCCCTAAAATCCTAAAAAAAAATCCCTGAAATCCTGAATTCATCCCATAAAATCCTAAAAAATCTTCACAGATAATGGGCTAAGAAACGTGAATAGTTAAATTTTTTTTTTTTCAGTTTTTCCTCATTTTCCCTTTAGAATGTCAGGGCAGGGAGAGGTTGGGCTGGCTGGGATTTTTTTTTTCCATCCTGAGCTCCTGGAGCAACAAATCCCACAGGATTTTGTGGGTTTGGGGAGGTATTTTTGTTTATTCCCAGTGAATTTTTGTTTATGGAGCTTGGGGAGGTATTTCTGTTTATTCCCAGGGAATTTTCACTAATTACCAGCTGATGATGCAAATGCCAGGAAATCCCAGATCCCATAAAATTCCTGCATGGAACAGAGGCCCCATAAAACCCCCTGAAGTAAATATTGAATATTTCTTGGGCTCTTGTGGAATTAAAAATCCCAGTCCTGAAATGCCCTGGATTGGAATTAATGCAGAGTGGATTTTTAGGGATCTGCAGTTGATTCATCCTTAATGTCAGCAAAGCCCTGGCTGGGCAGGCTGGGATTGGGGTAAAAATGCTGAGAAAAAGGCAAATGGGAGGAAAAAAAAATCCTTATTTTTTAAAAAAAATCATACCTTTATGGACTTCAATCTTACATTTCTGTGACAACATTTTAACATCAATTGAAAGGTCCACTGAGTGCTGGGACACTGAGGGGTCATTTTCATATATTTATATATTTTTATATTTATATAACTATTTCTATTTTATATTTCTATTATATCCTATTGTATTTCTGTATTTTTATATTTATATTTTCTACTGTTGTATATTCCTAATTTCATATTTAGTTTTAGAATTTCATATATTTATTTTTGTATTTTTACCAAGCCCTTTAATGCCCAGAATGTTTTCACAAGCTAAAAACATCCCCAAAAACTGTTTTTAAATAGATACAAGAATTTCTTTAATTTGCCAGAAATTTTAGTGCAACAGGAAATGCAAATCCAGTTCTGATTTCAGTGGAGAAAATTCACAGAAAAATTATTTTTTTTGCTTTTATCCCTCAGCAAATTGTGATAAATCTGATTAATTTTGATTTACCTGCAGGTTTAATTGGGGATAAATATTCCCTGAACAAGTCACGGGGATGTGAGTCCCTGAAGGAAAAGGAGGAGAAGATTTTGGCCAAGATCCAGGGGTTTTGAATGAAGAAAGTTCTCAGAAATTATGGTGAGTGACATTAAAAGATAGCAAATAATAGAAGATAACAGATAATAAAAGAGAAATAATAAAAGATAACAGCAGGAGATGAAAAGGAAATGAAACTTGGTGCTCTAAACCAGCTCCAAATGGATACTAAAAATAAATAAATATATAAATTCCAATAAATTGGGGTTGAATATTAAAATAAGAGTTAAAAATACTGATTTTCAGCAGGAAACTTGACATCCTTCCCTCCAAAAATTGTGTTAAAAATCCCTTTCCTTGAAAAGAGCTGAGACAACAGAACAGGATTCAAGGAATTAATACAGAGAAAAAAGCTTTTTATGGACAGAACTTGTGCCTTTTGTGGGTTCAGAATCACCATGTGAAGTTAAAACTCACTAAGAAAAAGCCAAGGGGTTCCTAAAATCCAAGGAAAAACTGCTGGAATTCCTGAATTCATTCAAGGAGATCTTTGGGAGGATCTGTTCCCTGTTAAAGCTGCCTCTGGAAGGAGCAGAGCTGTTCAAAATCCTCAATTTCCAAAGGGACATCGACAGCTCTTGGGAAAAAAAAAAAAAAAAAAAAAAAAAAAAAAAAAAGGATTTCTCCAAAGCAGATGTTGTTGGAGCTGAGCTTAAAAACAAAACGTGGAGCTCTTGATGGGCTCCAAAATGTCCCTGTTTGTTGGGATTGCTGGCAGCTTTCCTGGGCAGATGGAGGGGATTGTGGAGTAATGGAAAATGCAGACTTCCCACAGGGCTGGGGGGTGTGTGGGGCTGCTGATCCTCCCCAGAAAGAGAGGAAAAGGGGGCAATTCCAGGTTATCCCCTGGCAATTTGTGCAGGTTTTGGTTTCTCCTCACATTTTGTGCTGATGCAGGTTTTTGGTTTTGGGGCAAGGCAGAAGGTTCAGGGTTTGTGTCTTCAAAGAGGAAAAAAAAAAAAAAATCACTTCAAAATCAGGAATTTTGGAGTCCCACCCTGGCTTTTGGTGTAAGGGAATAACATATTTACATTCTCTGCATAGAAAAGAAATCCTCCCAAGGAAATCCTTCTTTCCTGCTGTGGAGAAATGTTAATTTGGCTCTTAATGATGAAATAATGAAGGAATCAATAATTGGGGTGTGGCTGAGTGTCCCAACGTGCCCAAGGTGTGTTTGGCCACACCAGGACTTCCAGGAGGGCTCCAGGACCAAACACCCTTACCCAAAAACGGCCTGAAACAGGAAAATTTCATTTTCTGGCCTCCATCCCTGAAGATTTTTCCTTTTCAGTCCCTTTTGATGTTAAATTTGCCCAGTTTGGCCTCACCTTTACCTTGCAAATACTCCAAGTTTGGAAAACAAGGAGTGTCAAGTCATTTATGCTTCCACAGCTGTAGGAAAAGCTGGTGATATTTCATCAAGTTTAAGTTTCTTTTTCATTTTTTTTGCTGAATAAAAACCAAACAGAATGGAGGGAACCCAGAAGTGTTGGATGTTGCAGTTGTTTTGCCATCGTGGAAGGCCTTCCAAGGAGCTGTGTTTGTGTCTGGGGGGATGGTTTTAGGAAGGGGAAGGAATGTTTTCCTTGCAGAATTCTGTGGATTTCAGGAGGAATCCAGCCAGGGCTGCCCTCACAGGCCATGAATGGTCCCAGTGTAGTTTTGTGAGGCCTTCCCAGAAATCAGGAGTTCCTTGGAAATGAACCCAGGAATGCCATCAAACAGCTTGGGACAAGATCAAGGGGGCTGTGGGCTCCCAGACTGTCCCACATCCCCAGAGGGGAACATTCCCATCCCACCATGGCACCAACTCTCCAAACAGAGGGACCCTTAAACTCTGCCCCTACGTGCTGGGAAGGCTTCCCCTCATCCCCCCTGCTCAGGACCCTTCCAGCTGCTCCCTGTGCCAGGGATGATCCCTGGTCCCTTTTTCCAAGGGAAAGGGAGGGATCCTCCCCCAGCCTGGGGCTGCTGGCTCCTGTCCCCACCTCAGGCCTGTGGAATTCACAGGGGAGAGAATGATGCATCTGACTGCATCTTAGCAGAAGGCTAATTAATTAATTTATTGCACTGTATTATTCTGTACTGTATTGCATTACATCCAGACTGAATCTGCCAGGCTCTCAGCCCTGCACACACTGCCCAGAATCTTGTGGCTGTCCCGACAGTCCTGACACACACACACACACCAAAACACCCTCACTGTGGGTGAACAATCCCAGTTTCACAACACAGGCACAGCAAATGAGATAAGAATATTCTTGGGAAGAATTGTACCTTGCTTTTCTCTGTGAAGGGAAATGTGGGGCTGCACACCTGGCCTGACAGGCCAAGGAACCAAAACACCCTCACTGTGGGTGAACAATCCCAGTTTCACTCTGCTCTGGCACAACACAGGCACAGCAAATGATAAGCATTGTGTTTTCTTTCTCTGAGGTTCAGAGAATGTGAAACCCAGAAATATTCTTAGGAAGAACTGTGTCTTGATTTTCTCTGTGAAGGGAAATGTGGTGCTGCACACCAGGCCTGACAGGCCAAGGAACCAAAACACCCTCACTGTGGGTGAACAATCTCAGTTTCACTCTGCCTATGCACAAACACAGGCACAGAAAAGGATAAGCATTGTGTTTCCTTTCTCTGAGGTTCAGAGAATGTGAAACCCAGATGTATTATTGGGAAGAACTGTGTCTTGCTTTACTCTGTGAAGGTGAATTTCTCTGTGAATGATGAGAGGACTGCATTGATACCAGAAGGCTAATTAATTACTTTATTATACTATATTATTCTATACTATATTGCATTGCATCCAAATTGAATCTGCCATGCTCTCAGACCTCATCAAACACACACACACACACACAAAGTCTCTTAGACTTAATCCTTTATTTTTCATCAATCCAGTTGATTTATCCTAAGCCTGACAGGCCAAGGAACCAAAACACCCTCACTGTGGGTGAACAATCTCCACACTGCATTCTGCTCTGGCACAACACAGGCACAGCAAACGATGAGAACTGGAGAATGTGAAACCCAGAAATATTCTTGGGAAGAACTGTGCCTTGCTTTTCTCTGTGAAGGGAAATGTGGTGGCACAGGCCGGGCGAGGATCGTGATGGAAACACCTCAGCACCTCCCTGGCCCCAGCCCAGCCTCCTCCAGAGCCACCAGAGCCTCCTGGCTGCTCCGGGGGCTGTGTGAGGAGGCAGAGTTCCCACCGGGAAGGGCAGCCAGCTGGACAGGGAATAATCACTGGGAAGAGCCGTGGAAATTCAGAGATAAGCACCTTTTCCATGCTGCTCCCTGCAGGGTGACCAGCAGAGCTGGCATTCACATTCCAGAGGCTGCCACAGGTGCTGTGATGGAGCCTGGTGGAATTGCTGGATCCTGAGCAGGGCCTGTGGCAGCACAGCAAACCCATGGAAGAGGCTGGAAACTCTGAACTGGGGCTGTTTTTGCTAAAAACGGCACCGCTGGCCTTGATTTATGAGCAAACAGAAGTTTTAAAACGGCCTCGGGAGCCTGGCCCAGAAATCCATGAGCCTGATGTCATGTGGAGAGGGCCCAGAACACAGAATTATTTTTATGGAGTTGTTAGCAAGTGTTATTAAAAAAAATTGAAATGTTCAATTGGAATTTTTTTTATTTTTGGCTATAGGATGAGGACGGAGCAAAAGTCTTGGAATGGATGTGGACAAGACATCCCAGTTTTAGGCCACCCTTCCTGGCTCCAGATGAGAGCAGGGCTTTGCTGGAAGAGGGGATTGCAAAAGGGGATGTGAGGGAGGTCTGGAGAGCAGTAATTTTAAACAGCACTTCAGCCATGATGTCATTTCAGCTGAAAAATAATGTTCAAGTTTGGGCAAGCAGAGCCTGGGGCCAGCAGCCAGGGTGGGGAGGAACTGCAGCAAAATGGAAAGGCCAAAGTGTGGAAGGTCATGGTGGAAAACCATGGAATTTTCAGGATAACCCCCAAAAAAGGTGGGTGAAAACCCTGGAATTTTCTGTGAGCATGAGGATTCCAAGGAAATTAAGGAAATGGAGGTGTTCAAACCCTAGATGGGGTTTTCACTCCTCTGTCTGGAAGTCAGAAGCCAAATGCTGGAGCACAGGAACAGCCTGAAGGATTGGTGTGACCCCAGGCTGTGATCCCAAAGCGACCCTGAGCTCTTCTCCTGGCATTTAACCCAAATCCTGCCAAAAGCTGCATCCACCTCCTTGCCTGAGGAGGCCAAAAGGCTGAAACAACCAAGGGACGTCGTTCCAGTGGATTTGGACATCAAAAATATCTAAAATCTGCTTTGTGGGGCTTCTCCCTCCTGGGCTGAAATGGAGGATCACCCTCAGGCCAAGCTGTAGGATCAGCCCTTTCCATGGGGTTTTAAATGAATTCCCACTAATCCAGCCTTAGAAAGCTGAGCCTTGGTCAGCCTTGGATAAAGCCTCGCACATTTTGTCCCTTTTTCATTCCCTGTTCCACCACAAACCTCAGCTGGGGAAAAAAACCAAAAACAAATCCCAACAAAGCAAGCAAAGGAAGGGGCACCTGCAGCTGGAAATGACAAAAAGCTCCTGTTTTAGGAGGAGATTTAGGACTTGGAGCTCCCCAGGAACAAGTTCTCTTCCCACTGTGTTGGGAGCCAGGAATGAGCTCAGGCTGTGAGATCAGATTTTGCTGAGTCTACAGGGTTAGGCTTGTTCTTTCCTCTTTTCCAGAAGTTCCCCTCTCCAAGCCATGCCTGGATATTTGATTTCCTTGGGAAATCTCGGCCCTCTCGGCAGCTTTTGCTGCGTTTCGTGGCCGGGACGCTCAGCCCTGCCAGCAGAAAAGTTCCTTTTGTCATTCCCATTTGTCCACCTGAGCCTTGAGGTTCCTGGAATTGGGGGAGCTTTTCCTGGAAGAAGTGCTGCAGGCCGGAATGGTTTGTGCAGAAAGCACTCCAAGGCTGCAAAGATGGCCAGGAGGCAGCTGGAATTTAGGGAGAGCTCTTGGAATTCTCTCTCCTGGTGGGTATTTCTCTGGCTGTTGATGAGCACCCAACGTGCCCTGGCTCGAGGGGATGTTCAGGGGAGAACCTGACCCAGTGCTGGCCAAAAGGAGTTGGAATTTCATGGAGGGAACGTTGCAAAAACGCACAGGACTGATGTGATTCACATCTGGAATTCAAATTAAAGGAATTTGGGACCATCACAATCAGGCCAAACCTGTTCCCTGGCAGTTTTTTGGGGGGAAGAGCAGTTCAGGTGAAGCAAGGGCTGATTCTGGATCTCTCCACAGCCCATGATCCTGAAAATTATTATGGAAAAAGAGCAGCTTTGCCCTTGAGGCTGTTTTTCAGCTCTGGGTGGGGTCAGGAGAAGGCACTGCCAGCTCTCTCCAGAGCCTGTTCATTCCTGGGAGATTTCTGGGGCTGAGATTTTCTGGAAAACTCCAGAGGTTTGGGTCAGTCTCCATCCTCCTTCTTTCTGGAGAGCTTCCCGCCCCTTGTGAGCCTGCACACGCCGTTTTTCCATTTCTCTGGAAGTGACCAAAAACCCCAAAACAACCCCAG